CCGTGAACGCCCCGCCGCCCCGCGCGCCCCGTCCCCGCCCGTTGACATCCCCGCCGCACGCCACCCGCACACACGCGTCCAGCAGCTCCAGGCAGAAGCCGCACAGCTCCTGCCCGGCAGCGCAGGCAACTCGGACGGCACCGCCGGTAGCTACGGCTCGTCCGGCGACGACCGTCTCGCCTTCCTTACCGCCATGCAGGACTCGCACGCCGCGCGCAGGCCCGTCACCACCGCCCCGCACCCCGCCGCCTACCCCAGGCACGACTTGCTCGCCCACCCTTGGCCCGCCCGCCCCAATAGCGTACCCCCGCAGCCTCTGCCGCAGACTCAGTTGTACTTGAGCGCCAAGCAGAGCCCCCCGCACGTCGTCTTTCAAAAGATTACCCTCCTGCAGTCGCAGAAGCACGCCACCAAGCCCACGGAGAGGTATCGCCCCGTGGCGGAGGAGTACTCGTTTTTGGAGTGCGTTGTCGAGCTACTTAAGGGCACCGTTGTGCATCGCAAGAAGAACGTCCTGCAAGGCGTCGAGGCCCGTGTCTGGCTGCGCGCCGATATGGAGGCCCTGGAGTATAAGCTGTTGAAGAAGGGCGTGGTCCCGCGTAACCACCAGATCAAACTGTGCAACGTGCGCAAAGTTAAAGGGTCTGAGAAGGACCTCCAGCTGGATATCGTAGGCGAGAAGAGGCCGATCGATTTTGCCTTTCGCACGGCTAAGGAGCTGAACATTTGGCTCAGCGCCTTGTGCTGTCTTGTGCCGAGGCAGGCCACTGTGAAGAAGAACCATAGCCGCATTGAGAACCGCTGGGATTATAACCCCTTGCAGGATACCTGGAACGACAAGAGCGTGTGCCAGAGGAAGATGGTGCGCGAACTCTTGATTCTGGGCACCATTGGCACGGGCGCCACAGCCAAGGTGAAGGCCGCCTTGTCGACCACGGAGCGCCGCTTTTATGCTGTCAAAGTCATCTCAAAGGCCACTATCTGGAAGACGAGGCGCATGGGCAGTCGGTTTGGGAGAGGCATGCTTGGCCGCGCTGGCGATTTGACCATGGATGACTTGGAGGAAGCGACCGTGCTCAAGGATTTGCGACACGATAATATCGTTCGGTTGTATGCGGTTTTTGAGGACGAAGACCTCGAGATGTTTTATTATGTCACAGAGTATCTGCCGAGAGGACCCGTTATGCGATCCCACAGCGTGCAGACGGAGAAGCGTCTGAATGAAGACACAGCCCGGTCTGCGTTTGTAGATGTAGTGGCGGGGCTCGAGTACCTGCATCGGAACAACGTTGTGCACCGAGATATCAAGCCGGATAACTTACTGACCAGCGGAGACGGGACGGTGAAGATAAGCGATTTTGGGGCTGCCATCATGTACATAGATGAGGAGGAGGCAGAGCGGGAGGAGGAGGGGGAGGGCGGTCGGGAAGAGGAGCATGCCAAAGGGAACGGCAGTGGGAGGGAACGGGAAGGGAACGGACGAGGCACAGGGAAGCGAGCGCGGAAGAGTCAGAATCTGAACATTGGCACGCCGGCGTTCACAGCGCCGGAATTGTGTATCAGTGAGCATGCACCACAGTGTCCGGAGCGTTGCTTTGCGGCGGACATATGGTCGCTGGGGGCAACCCTGTTTTATTTTATATACGGCCGGCCTCCACATCTGGAGAAGAATGTGCTCAACATGTATGATGTTATCTGTACAGACGATGTGACGTTTCCGCCAGAGCCGGTGATTGGGTCAAACTTGAAAAAATTGTTGCAAAGGACGCTGGCTAGGAAGCCAGAGGAAAGAGCGACGATTGCGCAGATTGTCCAGTCTCCCTGGCTCACAAAAGACGTGCATATTTCGGAAAAGTTGAAGGAAATTAAGAGAAGGGTGGAGCGCATTCTGGTGTAGGTCGTTCAGCGCGCGGGCGGATAAGGTGTATATGTTGTTGGACTTGCGTTTTTTTCTTTTTTCCCCCATTGATCTTTTGAGCTGTCGCACAGGCAAGTACTACGAGTATTATTGAGTCGCCTCGATCCTGCTGGGCGATAATCATACTCTCTACGAGTACTTTTTTTCTGTCCGACGGCTCAAAAGACAAAAGAGGAGAAAGGTTTGGCCGAGGCATTCTTGGACGGGTTAGTATGGCATTTTGTTAAGAGGGGCACATAGGGCGGTAGCGGTGATTTCTTACAGATATAACGAGAGGAAACTAGTGACTGGTACATATTTGCCTTGAAGGGATGGATTTTGAGAGCGCGGCCACACTTTGGGGCACCCAAGTTGATTTGGATGCAATACATTGGAGACACATGACGTGGATGACGTCATGTGTCTCCAATGTATTGTTGATAAACTTGCGCCAGCGCCATCCAAGGTTGGCCTCCGTTTATTCGAGCTGAAGGCGGATTGAGACAAAGAAAGACGAAAAAGATACACTTAGAGCATCTCCACTGGCGAGGGTCTATGGGATATAATGTATTTGTCCAAAATGCCAGGTGGAGAATTACAACTGGCTCCCAGTCAAAAATTAGACCGCACTCGGCCGCGGGTCTATGCTATTGATAGATGGAGCTAAAAAGGGACCCCTCTCCACCAGTGACGGTCTAATGGTCTATCTTCTGCTCTCGCACGCCTGCCCCCCCCTCCCTTCGTAGTTCCCCCGCCCCTCTCTCTAACTGCCAGTTTCGTATTTCTACAGAACGACCATGAACTTCAACTTAGACGAACTCGTGCATGACAGTGACGACGACATTGTCGATACTGTCGCAATTATTGTAGCACATGATAAGCTTAACGAAGAGAATGACGGAAAGCACGGCGGATCCCGTCCTGAACGTAGTCCAAACGTCTTGCGAGACTTTTCGAGTGGGCATCGCCGCATAATGCTGGATTACTTTTGGGACGAGCGGAGCATGAGGGATGATGGATCGGGAGAGCGGGGTCCTGTTTACAGTGCTGGCCTCTTCGAAAGAAGGTTCAGAATGCCGAAAGAGCTTTTTCTCCGCGTGTACGACGGTGTCATGGAGAAAAACGCCTACATAAGACTGGGGATTAATTCGGACTGTACAGGACGAAAAGGAATCCATCCGCTGCAAAAGGTTGTTGCTTCCATGACGCAGCTGTCCTACGGCATTCCAGGTGACGCTGTGGATGAGTACTGTAGAATGAGTGAGACTACCGCTCTGAAGTCGCTCCGAGAGTTTTGCCGGGGTGTGGTTTCTGCATTTGGAATTGAATACCTGCGCGCGCCGACGCAAGTAGACCTTCAGCGCATTGAAGCGCGATTTGCACAGGTAGGATTTCCGGGCTGTATGGGATGTGTGGACTGTGCAGGGTGGGATTGGAAACTGCACCAAAGGCACATCAAGGTCATAACGTAGGAAAAGAAAAAGTCTCTACACTACGAATGGAAGTTATTTGCGATTTGGATCTTTGGATATGGCATTGTGCCTTTGGGTACTCTGGAAGCATGAACGACATCAACATCCTTGATGTCAGCCCGCACTTTGCAGAGGTTTTAAGCGGAGTCTACTTTCCTTTCCGCGTGGAAAGTGTAATTGCAGAAAAAAGGTTTGACTGGTTCTATTACTTGGCTGACGGAATATATCCGAACTACAAGGTTTTTGTCAAGACTTTGCCGGAGACACAAAATCCGCGAAAGCAAATGTTTCGAATGCGACAAGAGGCAGTTTGCAAAGCAGTAGAACGGGTTTCTGGGGTCCTGTTCGCTCGCTGGAATATTTTATATTCCCCCAGGAGGCTCTGGAGCGCAAGTGATATGGAGGAAATTGTCTCTGCCTGTGTCATACTTCACAATATGATCGTCGAAGAGCGCAGAGGAGGGTTTTCTGGCGATGGGACCGGAGGTGTGAGGATATCTGATGCGGAGATTGACGCTCTGATAGCTGGCGACTCTAGCTCCATCATTGTGCCAATTGCTGATGGTGAGTGTAGTATAATGACCGGGGCAAGCGCGCAGAGGTCATCGGACGGCCGTATACGGTATACACGTGGGCGGCTGTGCCCACGTGTAGCGAGCGCGCGCGCATGCCAAGCGGTCGTAATCTGGCGTACGTGTACAGTAGTGCACGTGTCGTCCGAGGGGTAGTCTACGCGTGTTACGCGTGTGCGTTAGCACACGTGTCGTCCGTGCGGTAGTCTGTAAGCAACACGCGTGTACAGTGGTGCACACGTGTAGTAGCAGCGTCCGTGCGGTAGTAGCAATTATGGCGCTAGTTTTTTAATTGTGTACAGTACCCGGCACGCACTAGGCGGCAGGTACTGTACTACTGTACTGGGACAGGTGTCCGAGGCGTCCTCCTGCGGGGTTAAGACCTGGCACCCGTCCCCACCAGTAAACGGGGGCAAGCTCCTCCCCGTCCCTTTTGCGCCTACGTACGTCCGTTTCGGTTGTCCATCGCGCGCGCTGGCTTCTAACCCGTTACCGGTCGCTCCCGTTTACGCACCACGGGGCGACTGCGCGTAACCAGCCAGTGAGCCACTCCCTTTTCGCGAGCTCGTCCGATCGGTTCAATTGGCGCGTCGCGTCCGCGCCGCGTGCTCCCTCGCTAAAGCCTCCGCCTCTCACCCAACCCAGGGCGGAGAGGAGTTATCCCACAGTGAGAACGGCGGTACAGGGTGCTTTACGTCTGCAGTTAGAATTGGGTCGACAGGGCACGATTGTGGGGATTATGCCAAGCATGTGGCGCTCACAAAAGCCTTAATCACGCATATTTGGCAATCTTACGCTAATACGGAACCTAAATGACCGTCTTGCACAGGGATTGGGTTTCTCTGATTGACACAGTTTCAATTACGTCGCACTCTCTACCGCCTCTAAAATCACAGGGCGCTGTACGCTGCACCCGAAAATATTAGAGCTCCCCTAGGACGTTCCTGGAGCAGGCCAAGACCGGCCCGTCGGATCCCCCTCCACATAGTACAGTACCCTTGGTAATGTACAACGCAGTATATATGAGCGTGTTCGTCTCTCTTATCACAGAGCAGAGTAAGACAGAACACGACCTGGGGATAAGTCGCAGCAGTTAGCATTTGCAAAAGCTTTAATGTATGTCACAAAAATGTGACTCTCCCTCAGTGACCGCAATGTGTGGATGTCTCATTAACAATATCTTTCCTCGGCATGCTTCGCGACCTCGAAGCCGGCTTAGAAATGTAATCACCAGAGACAGAGGATGTACGTATCTCAGTTGGAAGCGGGTCATCATCATCGGGATGATTAAATTATTCTCCATTTGCGATCAATGCGTGTGCAGAACTCAAATCCTCACCATAACAAGCCGCTTCCGTTGGACAGCTGCTTAACTCTTCGTCCAAGTCCTTTTCCAAATCGGCGAGCATCTTTCTTTCGGAAAGGCGGAGGTATTTCGATCTGGCTTGGGCGCTCACCGCCTCGCTCGAAAAAAATTCTTGTCGTTCTCTCAGCTTCGCCAGTATGAAAGCCTTTTCTGCAACAATTGCTTTTCTTTGTTGCACTTTTCCTAGAAATTCTAGCTTTTGGTTTGCTTCTTTTTTGACGCGTAGTGCATTGCTCATGTTCTTCGTCTTTTTGACGCCTACAGTTCGAGAGATAGCGTCTGGCACTTGCACCTCGGGTGCTCTTGTTTCCTGCGACTCTTCTATCGCGATTCCCTCCTCATCATATATTGCTGCAGCAGTCTCTGCTCGCTTTTTCTGAGCATTTCTACGCTTCTCGGATTTGGTTGTCACTTCATCGATAGATGTCCAAATTTTTGTGCTCGAAAAAAATTTCCAAGCTTCAGGAAGTGGGAAAGGTCGAACGGGCTCGACGGGATCAGGAGAACAGTACAAGTACATTTCTGTTGCAGAACTTACCTGGCCATTGTACATAGCTGTAGCAACTCGCTTATGATCTGAATCCGTGACATTACCGGTCATCGCTGCCTTAATCCTTTTCATGTTGCCTCCATTTTCATGCATGCTGCTTTGATATCCTTAAATCTTTGCCGGACTGAGCAACCGGAACGTGATTCTAGAGGTAGTAGCACATCTCCCTGCTCGTAATGGTTTGTAATTAAATCGTTGTACCGCTCGGCAATCTGAGCTTCGAAAGTTCCTTTCCGCTGCGACGATTCAGTTACCGCGTTTTCAGATACCCCCATGTACGCCTTGCATGCTATGACGTCCTCAAGGGGCGTCCATGATTTTCCCCTTCCCATAACGGCCAAACAGGAGAAGCAGGAGGGATATGTTAGTAAAAAGAAAGGGGGAGGAGATGTGCGTACCTCTGTCATGCCTGATAAATGAATTTTCATGTGTACGTGTGTGCAGTATGGAAGACCTTCGCGCGCTCTTTCCGTCGCAAAACAGTGAAGGACGGCAATGGGCAGTTTGGGTAGCACATAAATGTCGCGGGAACCGTATGACTGAAAGTAACCCGTATGTCAGGCGAAGGGGATGGGAGCGGCGGTGGCGAGAAAGGCAGGACGAGAAATGCCAAGATTTGTGCTTCACGTGTGCAACGTGGTGAATAGATCGGGTCTATTGCCGGGTCTATTTCGGGGTCTGAATAGATCCTGCGATAGACCCACGGTATTTTTTGGTAGGGATAGACCCAGTGTTTTTTGGAACGAGTGGAGACGAAATTGTCTAATGGGTCTAAAATTCATGGGCCATAGATCATTAGACCCAAAAAACACCAACCAGTGGAGATGCTCTTAATCATTAAAACTAATGCGTGCCTTTTTCAATCCTTCGGTTGTTAAACGATGTCATTAAACTTGCGCCCGCCTTTCTCAATCCTCACCTTATTTAATCATGATGTCATGTTCGTCTCGCCCCAGTCGCATTTAACGAGTTCACATCACATGCAGTATCCATCAATCATTTATACAAACACTATTGAGATGCAGAGGTCGATCACCTGAGAGCTGTGCCGACACTCTCTCTCGATCTGCCAGTCATCCCACCCCGCCATGATCGACATACCAGTCCGCCTCAAAAGCCGGTCACTCGCTTCTGACAAGCGTCCCGTCGTCGCTAATGTCATATATCTCCTCCGCAAGCTCCCCGCGCACCACCTCGCACGCCTCCCCCGCGGCCACGTCTAGCGGACGAAAAAACAAGCCGCGCGGCCGCGCGGCCCCCTCCGCGAGCAGTTGCGCAAGTGGCGCCGGCAGATGCTCCACCGCCACGCGCTCCGCCACCCTACTTAGCAAGCCCGCGCCGCACGCGCCCCCGCTGTACGTGAGCCGAAAGGGATAGTTAGTCTGCTTCTGAAAGCCAAAATTGGACGTCGGCCCGCGTGCGCCACTCCCGTGTGCCCACCCTCTCGCGCCCGCCGGCATGGCCGCCAGCGCCGGTGAATGCGCCAGCGCCGGCACGGCCGCCAGCGCCGGTGCACGAGCCAGCGCCAGGCATA